GTCATAAAAATTAATTAGTTTTAATTTTATTAATAGTCTATGAATAATAAATTTATATTTGCATAGTCATTAATAATTGGTGTTTCTGATACATGAATCAATTCGTCAACGGGTGGAGCTCATGAGATTAATTTTAACATGTTTAATTAGTTAATAATTAAGTAACTAGCTAGCTCAATACTACAAAAAAACAAAAGTCCACTGATACACTCATGTTTGGGAGACTGCAGACAAGGAAATTCCATGAGCTCTCTGAGCTAAAGATACAAGATGAACTTTCTGCTTCTCCAGAGTATCAATCAAGTCAGAATAAGACTTTGCCTTTTTCTTGTTACGCTTAGCTCTTTTATTCCACTAAATAAAAAATATATTGAATTACTTTATATTTATGAATTTTTACTTTTTTAACTAGAGTATCCATTGCCTTTTTTTCTTCAGAAAATTGTTTTTTCACATCTTCTATGTCATCTTCAGCAGTTTTACTATACTTTTTTCGGTAGCTCTATTTTTGAATTGGGGGAGAGTAAAACATAAAATTTAGTACCTCAACAATTGCTGGTTTAATCTTCGTAAAATATTCATGACAGTCTGCTAAGAAATATTTCTCTAATTCATCAAGGAATTCATCAATTGTTCTAGTCCTTCAAATTTTAAGAATTAAAAATAATTAATGTAGCTATACCAAAGTACAGTAGATTTACCATTTTGGAAATTTCAAAAACCATCTAAAAAATTACTTTACTTTAGCTAAACTATGATAATATACTTACCCAGTTAGAAAAATTATAATTTTCTTCAATATTGAATAGTGCCTATAAAACAATGCTAGTTAAATCAGTTTAGTTAAATAACTCTTACACTTGGCTTTGTTCTAATAAATCTTTTAATTTGATAGGTGGGCTATTAAAAACAGCAACAAAATCAAGTAAAGAAATAACTTTTAATCTCACGTGGTGCTGACTGCTGTTGTGTCATTACATACAGATTCAGAAATAAAGCCAGCTTCAGGTAAATTAGATTTCACTATGCACATTACAAATGATAATAATTTTAAAATTTCAGTGTTCATACTTCATACCTTTTGTAGAAGTGCAAACTGTGTTGCAGTATAAAGCCATGCATTGTTTCATATCTCCTCTAGCAGAAGCTAATGCATTTATTGATTCACCAACAGCTTTTTGCACACTTATAAATGGTAAATCTAATAAATCATTCTTCAGCAAATCATTTTCCTGTCTAAAAAAATCTTCAGCCTCTAATATTGATATTAGTAACATGAAATACTACAAAATGAGGACAAACCTAAATTGAACTGTTCAGTTGTAATGCCTTTCATTTCTTTAATTCTTGATCGAAATTTTTGGAAATGTAACTTAGATATATTTTCAATTTTATCATTTGTTTTCTAAAGTCACAAATCAATAGTAAAATCAAAAAAATATTGACAATACCTCTAAATCTTTATCAAAAGCAGTTACTAATTCTTTCGAAAATTCAGAATCTTTTTTATAGATATATTTTAAATTTTCAGCTTGAGTTTCAAAATCATTTATAAACCTTTTTTTATCCTTTACCATATTTTTAAACTCTATTATTGAATTACATTTATAATAAAACATTTATTATACTAACTCTTTTCACGTTCCATTAATTTCTCTTTCGCTTCATCTAGTTTTTTTTGTGCTTGTTCACAGTATCTAGTACAATCCATCACAATGTTGTAGAGCCACAAATAATGCACTTTTCCAGCAATATCACTAAGTCTACATATGAAGCAAAATTAAAAATTATTGCATAACCATAAACTTTTGTTGATAAATTTTTGTGCATTGGGTTTGTTTTTAACGACCTGGGGGCGTAGCCCCCAGGTCTTTCCTATAATTGAATTCACCCACGTGCGATGTTTGTATATATATATATATTTGTATGTCCACACTTACATTTCTTCTATACATGTTGTATTGGAGAAATAACAAGCCTTAGCAACCACTCGCCCACGCTCCTTTACGTGAGTGGGTGTGGTCACGGCAAACAAAATGGCGGCTTACACAAGGGACAAAGTTAAGAGCTTTCTAACAGCAAGAGAGCATAGAGATACTGTCTAAAGACTTCTCTAGAAGCATTATAGGTAGAGAGAACCTCTATAAGTCTTAATAATGACCAAGTTGTACTTGCAAGGTAGTGAAATCAATTATAGGAATATTTTTTACCCTGTTACGCTTGTTATGTTAAGTTGTTAACTGCCCCAGGCCAGCAACTAACCCACCCATGTCTTTACGTAAAGTGAGTGTGACCACAGCAAACAAAATTCCAGGACAAAGTTTTGAGCTTTCTAATACTCCCACTAAATTTTTTTTGTAGAATTGGAATATTTCACTGCCTTTATTATTTAATTTTTATGTGTTTTTAATTTTACTGTTTACATAACTTCATTAATTAACTGGTTTATACTAGTATTTTTTTGTCATTCAAATTACCGTAAATGTTCAAATAAAAGCTCGGGCGTTTATTTCTTTCCAGGACAAAAAATTGTGTAAAATAAAAAAAGAAAAAATAAAACT